CCTGCTGTAGAATATCATTGGTTTTGAACGCCGATACACCATCACGGGAATGAAATTCGAAAAGCAATAAGTACATCAAAATGTATCGGTTTGTCTCCTTACCTTTTTCTCATCTTCTCCGCTTTTATAAACTGTCGCTCCTGAAGCGACGACAACAAAGACAGCGAAGGAAAGGATCAGAACTTTGAACTCCTGGTGAAAGAAAACGAAAAACAACAAAAAAAAGGATCAATTAATGTTGCAAATCCTTCTTCCCAGTTTAAATTGATAACATGGTACCACTAGTACTAGTAAGTAGCTCATTTTTATAAGATGGCGTGCACAATATACAGTAACTAACCATTGTAGAACCCCTGTTTTGAAAACAACTCTTGTTTTCTTCTTGCTCTTGATGCACAGACTTTCAAATTTGAAATTGATTGCAAGGTAGTGCAAATCAGCCATTTTTATACCATCTGCTGGCCTGTTTCATGTTCCTGGTTACGCTCTCAACGAGAACAAGCACTTCCTTTAGCGTGTATTGTTCCAAAAGTGCGACGATTTTTACCACGAAAACCATGAATTGACACGAAGGAGGATTATTAGCGATTTTGTTTTACGAAATTATAAATACTTGTTATTCGATTGAAGTAGTAATCAAGTTTTCTTTGTTCAAGGCAGGCATTCATTCACGTATTTCCACCGCACTTTTGCTACCCAACTTGACTATTCGAGGGTAGCAATAATTTATACAAGACAAACTAAACGTAATATTACAACTTCAGCTGGAGAATAAAGTTTCTACAACAAAAGCAAATGATTTATCAAGAGTTCTTCAGTTTACACATTGATGAAGTTTTCTGAATAGTTGTATAAGTACATAGGCAGCTGTATGTTGACTGTTATAAATCACATTGATCTAAACTAACAACACTAAAACGTCCAACTCGGAACAACTATTAGTAGAATATTTTATTAAGATACATATAAAAGGGATCGTTTTATAACTGGAACAATCCCAAACAAGGTCGATGTTATCCAGTGTTCCAGTGGAATGAGTAAACAAGTGAATTCATTAATCTAGGAAAGGGTTGGAGGGGGTGTCTCAAATATTTCCCCCTCAGCTTCTCTCAATTTTGTCCTTCTCTTCTTTCTTCTTCCGCCTTTTGCGGCAAACTTAGAACCTGAAACAAGCCACGATGATCCGGTAAAGATTCGATTACAAACGGCTACACGAATAGTTCCTGTCACAACCCAAAATCAGCACGCACTTTCCCTGATGCAGTGATTGTGCCAAAGGACTGAAACGAAACTTAACACAATTTCATAATTTCTTTTCATCATATGTCGCGGTCTACATTAATTGTTGTAATGTTCCATCTCGGATCCATCGTTCTCTAAGAAACTTTTAATGCTTACGTTACAACACGCTGAGCAGTGTCCTTAGTCACGGGTATAAGCAGGAATGTTACTTGGTTCAGTCAAACACTTAACCTTTTTAATATGTTTCTTGTCGCGTCACATGCTTGATCTCACGCTAAGTATCTTTGTCATGCTATAAAGTTTAATTCTACAAATGAGCTATTTCCTTGTATCTCGCTTATGGGTGTGCACTTTAATTAATTTCTTTTCCATTTGCTGAGAGGGAACGTGTGCTTTTTAATAACCAGCTTCCATCTTTTCAAAGGGAACCTTGTTATTTTCCCTCTTATTTTAGCAATTTTTTTCTGTTTAAGTCGGCCATTTTGTAGTATCGCTTGCTTATTTAGCCCTTGGCTTATATTTAGCGGTCTGAAGGGTGCCGCTACACGAAGACTCAACCTCCTATGTACGTTGTTTGTCTCCTTCAGAAGTACTGCATAATGAGATTTACCGACTGACTGATTGTTTTGTTTCGTGTAGCAGTGGTAGCTATATTAAGTATATTTTATTTTTGGTTTGCAAAGGTGGGCGTAAGATTTGCGTAAGATTAAATGGATATATTTCAACATTGAGTGCGGTTTTTCAACAACAGCAAATAAATGGCGTGTACGGAGTTCCAAATTACTTGCCAAGCGATTTATTCTGCCAAGCGATTTTATCTTACGCTAAAAGAATAAAGTGATGTTTTTGCAACAATATTTAGATTTAGATGTTTCAGCTCTTGACGCACGCTGTGCATACCACTTTAATTGACCTCCCGACCTGGTCATAGCTCTAGTAGAAGTTCCTCCTTTGATCAAACTCTTTATTATTTGAAGCCCAAATTAAATGTAATGTCGCGTGGTACTTATGGCATCAATGATCAAACAGAGAATTAACCCTGAACTGAAATAACAACAGTTTTAAACATAACCAATGAAATCATCACTAAACAATTCCGGTAGGAATCGACAAGCGCGCAATGTCACAAAAATGTCCCTTTACAGTAGCATTGCTTAAAGCAGATTAAAAAGAATCGACTTATTAAAAGATTTAGCTATAAAAAAATGCGTTAAAACTATTCTTAAAAACATTTTAAGAACGTAAAAACGTCGTATATTTTTTAACTTTTTAAAATGGCTTAAAGTGTTTTTAAGAAATTTTTTTTTACGTAATTTTTTTTATAGCTAATTGCTTAAAGCATTTTGTTAATTCACTTATCACCATACTGATTCTCCTACAGACCCTTTCATTATTCTGTAACAGGCTAATACGAATCGGGAGACGTGACTCCTCCTCTCAATTGACAGCTACACAAAAAGAATTGGGAAACGTTTCTCTTTGTAGTGTTGAAAAGCGAAGAACTGCAAGTGCAAAGAACCACGGTAGCTAAATTTACTTTCCGGCATTGATTGATTTAACCTGTCTTTCAAATTATGAAAGATCCCATGCTGTCCCAAGTTCTCTGATCTACAACGAGGCCCAACAGAACCCGGGTTTGAGTCAGATTAATATGGGAAGGGTACACCAAAGGTTGTACTTCGTAGCACCTAGAAATCTTTGCTAACAATAGCATTTGAATAGCCCACCTTTTTAGTTCACTAATTGCAAGAAACAGTGTGGAAGATTGCCTCCAGACATCAATTCCCATGTGAAGTACATCTTCTATGTGGTGTTTCATGATCAGGTATGGCTGTGGGGGCTATTTGGTATCAGTTTGACAGGACTCTTTTAAAAGAACGACATTTGCGTGATGTTGAAATTGCTTAGTTTTCATTCAGTTCTGAGACTTTTTTGAATCTTTACCGTTTATTATTTTCAGAAAGGAAATGTATCCGGCCTCGTCAGAAGAAGGAGAGTGGCCGGCGGGGGGGAGTGCTGATGTTAAATAAACTTAGAGTTCTTTTTGTTTCATTGAGGCCGTCTCAGGCAATTTTTTTTTTTTTTTCAAATCGAATCTGTACATGACAGTTATTTCCTCGTTTCGTAAAAAACCGCAATTACTGTTTTTGCGCAAAAAGGCTGAATTAAGTTATTTTGGGGAACTTTAATCCGAATTAGATGTTTCAGCTCTGAGACACTCCACCTGTCACTAAAACTGTGGGCTTGTAACCTTTTTCTTTAAGATCCAGTTGTTCTTCCTCTCATCGGACTACAAATTAAAATTAATAAGCAAAATAAACAATTCTTAAGCTCTTTGTTAAGAGTCTTTTA